GCCTCCTCTTCGCCGCACGCGGTTCGCCGACAGCGAGGCCCAGGCCGCAGCGCTCCAGGCCCGCGCCGGCTGGCTGCAGCGCACGCCGCCGACCACGATCGGGCTGCTCAACACGCTCCTCGCCGCCATGGGCCACGACTGGGAGGAGGAGGACGCGCGGGAGGCGGGGCAGCGGCATAATCAGCGCGTGTTGGATCCGGGTTTGACTCCAGAGAACGGCGACAATCCGGCTGCCACCGGACGGATCCAGATGGAGGAGGGTCAGGGAGGCGCGCGGGGGAGGCCGTCGAGGTTTGGGGGCGCCGGATCCAGAGTTCGGGGTGGCGCCATGGTTGCTCGGTGAGCTCCTGCAAGGGAAAGGGAACATGAGCGGCGGGGGAGACTCTGCTATTCAACGGAGATAAGAAGAAGAAGATGAAGACGCAAACAGGTGAGTATAGATCAAGCACAGAAAAAACAGAGGGATTTATTAAGAAAAAAGAAGAGAAACAAATCCACCAGCAAACCATGGAGCAACTCCAAAGAGGACACCAAGAACCGGGACAAGCATGGAGCAGCGGGGAGAGAATCTAGGCTGCAGACGCGCCTCCAGCCGGCGAGCGCCTCTTGCTAACTACTGACTACCTACAAGGGAGGCCAGAGGGAGAGGGGAGGGGAACGGAGGAAGAGGAAAGCTTGGAGAGAGACAGGCGGAGAGCACGAGGAGGAGCTGGTTCACGCTGGCTACTGCCTCTGTCGTTCTCCGTATGTGGTTATCCCACAAATATAATTTTTTTAGGCCAACAAATGGAAGAATGCGTGTGCATCGCTCAAAAGTGTGCGTGCTTTTTTTTAATAAGTGCGCGTGTTTTTCTAGAAAAAGAGCCTACCGTTTGCGTAAAATGCTTGTGTTTGGGCCCAGTTCAAAAAGAAAGAAAAGAAATTTAATCTTGCAAGCCAAACAACCAACATTTTCTAAAACAACATAGTAAAAACTTATTTTTTTCAAACATTAATAAAAAGTTATATATAAACAATCACACTTCAATGCACCACTACTCTTGTTGCAATTGATAGCCTCAGAGAATTGTCGTGAAACAAACAAATCAGGCACTCTCTTAGCCCGTTTTGAACCACACTTTTTGTTCTCTGTTTAATTTGAGAAAGTGCCCAATTTTCTAAAATTTAAATGGAGTATATGTCTCACACCACAAGTAATTTTAATACGGTTCTAAAAAACAGTATTTTTCATACGTTTTCTCCGTAACGATGCATGGACATTCAGACAAAGAGATGATATATCCAATTTATTGGTTGAATGATCTAATGTTTTAACTAATATAATTTGTATATCTTTACCTAATAATAAAGCAAATTGGGTTTCTTTCGTCCGTTATGCCATTTTTCAGAAAAGTCCCTCTATTTCAGAGAATTCAACCCACAGTCCTGTTTTAAGTTAAAACGAATCATTATTTTCGTATTTTACAGAAAAGTCCCTGTCTTTTTTTGAAATCAACCTGCCATCCGGATTTAAGTCACACCCGAAGCATTATTTTACATTTTTTGAAAACCTCCCTGATGTTTTAGGTAATTCATCCGGGATCATATTTAAGTCAAACAAATATTTTTTTAAATCATTCATATCTTTTAAACCGTAACTCCGATTTGAACATGTTATATATAAAATTTGATTAGAAAAATATGTAGAATATGAATATGAGATTATTTTTACCTTTTAAGTATCTTTAAAAAATTATTTTGGAATATATTTGAGTCAAACCAAATGATTTTCTAAATTATCTGTATCTTTTAAACCGTAACTTTGGTTTTAACATATTATATATGAAATTTTATTAGAAAAATGTGTGGAATCTAAATATGATGTTAATTTTACCTGTTAAATATTTTTAAAATATTGTTATGGAAGCAAACTTATAATTTATAGTGCAAGATCCGTTTTTTCATACCGGCGGCGATCCCGATTGCAAATAAACACTCCACTATAACCATATACGGAAAAGAAAACATCGATAACTACACGTGCATACCTCTGAAAAATGTCGCAAGGGAAAACAACATATTTCTCATCGCGCGAGAGAGAGAGGGAGACAGAGAGAGAGAGAGAGGGAGAGGGAGGAGAGAGGGAGAGAGAGACGCCTTAGGATTAACCATATTCAACACACGTTGTTTGTTGTTTTGTGCGAACACCGAGGCCATTGCCGGCGAGGGTGAGAAAGAGGATAAGCGGCAACACAAATATGATGCCTCACAAAAATAAAGAAGATGGACCTATTGTGGTCTTGAGTGATGGTTGTTGAGTTAAGAGTGTGTGTTATGTTTTCTCTCCCGTTGCAACGTACAGGCTCTTTTACTAGTAATAATAAAGCAAATTGGATTTCTTTCGTCCGTTAGAGAATTCAACCCACAGTCTTGTTTTAAGTTAAAACGAATCGTTGTTTTCGTATTTTACACAAAAGTCTCTCTTTTTTCTTGAAATCAACCCGCTGTCCGGATTTAAGTCACACCCGAACCGTTATTTTACATTTTTCAAAACCCCCCCGATGTTTTAGGTAATTCATCCGCGGATTATATTTAAGTCAAACAAATGCTTTTTAAAATCATCCATATCTTTTAAACCGTAACTCCGATTTGAACATGTTATATATGAAATTTGATTAGAAAAATATGTAGAATATGAATATGAGATTATTTTTACCTGTTAAGTATTTTTAAATATTATTTTGAAATATATTTGAGTCAAACGAAATGATTTTCTAAATTATATGTATCTTTTAAACCGTAACTTCGATTTTAGCATATTATATATGAAATTTTATTAGAAAAATGTGTGGAATCTAAATATGATGTTAATTTTACCTGTTAAATATCTTTAAAATATTTTTATGGAAGCAAACTTATAATTTATAGCGCAAGATCCGTTTTTTTCATACCGGCGACGATCCTGATTGCAAATAAACACCCCACTGTAACCATATACGGAAAAGAAAACATCGATAACTACACGTGCATACCTCTGAAAAATGTCGCAAGGAAAACAACAGATTTCTCATCGCGAGAGTGAGAGAAAGCGAGAGAGAGAGAGAGAGAGAGAGAGAGAGAGAGATAGGGAGGAGAGAGGGAGAGAGAGACGCCTTAGGATTAACCATATTCAACACACGGTTTTTGTTGTTTTGTGTGAACAACCGAGGCCATCATCGGCGAGGGTAAGAAGGAGGATAAGTGGCAACACAAATATGATGCCTCGCAAAAATAAAGGAGATGAATCTATTGTGGTCTTGAGTGATGGTTGTTGATTTAAGAGTGTGTGTTATGTTTTCTCTCCCGTTGCAATGCACGGGCTCTTTTGCTAGTCTTGCCTATGTCTGAATATGCTATTTTAGACATATATAGGTCCATCGGTGTCGATGGGTAGGCATATTACCATGCCCTTGCACCATGTATACCATATAACAGGCCCTACGGGCCTAGGTATGCAAAGCCGGTGGGGGCCCTATTCAAGCATGGCAAGCCTATCTGACTTGGAGAAGAAGTAACGGAGAGCCCCATCCAGGAAGGACTCTCAGTCTACCACCAGTCCACCACCTCTCCAGTCATACATAGAGAGGCCAAGACTTGCAAGAAGACTAAGTTTTAGAAACCCCATGACTAAGCAAGATCTACTTCGTTGTAATCAAGCCACCAAAGTTCTCAGCTGTCAATTGCAAATTAATATGCTATTTAAACATACCAGTAACAAGAAATGATTAGACACCCGCCTTGACTGACAGAGTTTTCCATCCGAGGAATATTCAAGAGAATCCAGTGTCTTCCATCTTGGGGATGCCATATGTGACTAAATTTACTCCCTTCCATGCAGGCCAAATTCTTCGCCCCAGAGGCAGCAAAGGCACTTGTTGATATTTATGCACAGAGATAGTCCACGAGAGGTAAAGGAGGAAAAAACTTTCGTTTGAGGTACAGAGATAGTCCTACTATGTTAATATCTAGGTAGTAGATTTACTGCAACAA